AAAAGGTAGATGTAAAGCAACAGCCATTCATACAGTTAATGACCTGAGTAATTAGAGTTCAGTGCAAAAACACACGGTGCATTCCAGCCTGGGTTCGATTCCGGGAGATGACTTCAATAATAATTGCTCCGCGATTAATTTCCATTCAGTGCAACTACCCTTAAGATCGAATAATACCACAGAGGATCGTGAAAAATGATTTAAGAGAGTTGGATTTATAGAAAAAATTCGGAAAAAGAATGAAATAAGAATGACAAATTTAAACAAAAGTTTTTCAGTTCCCTGATTCATATACATTTCCTAATTAGCACCACAAATATCATTAATAAGTGGACTACGGAACAACATACGCCACACAGATCACACTCTTCGCTGAAAAGGCAAAGAAACAAAATGGGAACAAATCCGCTGCAATGATGTTCGGGAAGTCACGGAAAGGTTGCCAGTAAAGACATGCGACGATGAAATAATTAGAATCCAGGTACTTTACATGCCACTGCGTGATTTCTTTTTGCCATTCTGAAGAATTTTTCCACAATTTAAATTGCATGCAATACTAGTCATAAAAATCAGTTTGATGCAAAAGGACACAGTTTGTCACACCTATAATCCTCGTTTGAAAACAACAGACTATGCAGGACCTCACCAAAAATCCGCTATGGGTGCAAATTTTCAGCCAGTCGCCCGTAGGCCTGAAGTCAGCCATATCTAAAACCTAAGCTTACAAGGGAGACAGCGGATATGTGATGATTTTTTGTTTTTGTTATAAACCGTTATACAAAAATGTTGATAGCACCTGGTTTTAGCGTGGTGAAACGAGTTGTGCCCTCAAATTAAAAAAAAAAAAAAAAACGGCCAGACGCGGCTTCTACTCGTCCGTGTCTTAAGTCCCACTTTAAAATAGTGAAACAGAAGATATTGTACTAAATGCCATGTGTGAAACTTTTCTTAACAGTCATAAGTGATGTCTCCGATCTTTCGAAGATATACCGCCATCATCCGCTTCCTTAGCAATACCGTATTCTTGTGTCTCATCGACTAGATGCTTAGCTTTTGCTCTGGAAAGTTATTTTCACAAAATCAAAATTGCCTAAACAACAGCCGTAGATGATTCGAGGATTATGCATTACTTCACGCATAGCTCAGGTATTTCCTTTTTAAAGGAATCACCTAAACTCTGAATTTCAATGCCAAACTAACGGTGTTCCACTCCCATCGGTTGCTTATAATGCAGGCATAATGAAAGGAAATGGATAACGCAATTACTACATTGGGATAGTCAGCATTATCTAGCATCACTCATAAGTTATGCTGTTCCCGTACTGTAAAGAGAAGAGGAAAGTATCTGCGCTCGAATAAAAGTGACTCGTCGCACTCACATGTGTAATTGCATCAGATTTCGTCCTAGGCATATTTCCAGGATTTGGACAAAACGGCCTGGCAGCCACAAAAATAACTTACTATAAACGAAGTCCGACTACCAGTCATCTCAAATTCATGCACAGTGCTTGCATAAAGCCAATAATCTTAGAATAGTTTATCACATTTTTTACTATACATGTTAAAGTAACAAGAAAACAAGGATGGATCACAATACAAATGAGGCATAAGTTATCACAGACGTAACTTATCTAACTTCGTTTCCTCACATGAAACGGCGTAAAAACATTTCAGCTGCCGGCAGATATCCACATTCCAATAATCATTTGCTGGATTTTCCAAGTGATTTTCAAAATCCATCACTTTACGGTACATTTTCCCTTGTACAGCGTCAGAAACATGTCGCAGTGTTGCTTCTTCGTTTAATATTGAAAACCTGTAATGAGCTAATCCAAAAGCGATTTTGTGACCTCAGAACAACCCCTGACTACTGGTAAGTCCTCGATACTACTGGGATTTATGTCTGCAGAGCTACCACTATACCAATCTCTCACTTCGAAGACTGCACTGTTTTTACCTTTCCGAAAAGCACTGAATTTCAATT